ACGATACCAGAAATCGCCGGTTTTCTCGATCTCCGATGGGCGGACCTCCAACGAGCAGAAAGGCCAACGTAAACAGCCTTGAAGCCTAGGATCAGTGCGTTTTGTCGCTCCAAGGCTGTTTGGTAGCCTTGCTCGGATATTTCGCCTTAGTTGATGCTTGAATCGGGACTTGCATGGGCCCCTAAGCTGGAAGCCCCAAAATTGCCATTGTTTGTGGATACAGTGCCAAATGCTTGTGCTCGGTACACAATCCATTAGAACCTAGCAAGACTCCATCACTCTAGAAGACCCGAATTCACCTTTGTGGCCATCCCCCTTGCACCCAATCCTCTAAAGTTCCGAGACAAGGACATGTCGCCATTCCCGTGGCAATTGCCAATTCACTAATTGGTCGTGCCATATCGAGGTGATAGCCATTACCATCTCCGGATCCTAGTTAAAAGGATTGGGAGACCTCCATCAGTTGCTTTGACAGCGGCAAAAGAGCCCGAAAAGCCTTGACCAAAAAAATTTGCGTCCGAAACGTCACTCCGATCCCCCAGATCAAGCCTAAATTAATGGTGTGAGCCACGGCGAGTTCGACGATCTATGCATTCGAAACACGTTTTCTATCACCATACCTCTTTGCAAGCACCCTAATGACCTCCACTCTGAACAGCATGAATAGTTTTGCAAGGACGAGTTTGTTTCGCTGCCATGAAGGAGTGCTCCTCAAACAGCCAAAAACAGCTGTTTTCGGCGCAACGTCCAGAAACGACCCTTTTCTGGCGAGAGGACCCTTGCTACAAAGTACTGCCAAATCCTCAAAACTTAATGGATCGACTTGAAAATTTCATGGTACACTCCAACCTCCCAAAAACAACTTTCGGGAAATTTTCATTACAAAACAATGTAGGCACGATAGAGAAACAACGTTTCAAAATCATAGACGACAATTAATATGTGAAGGAGGAAGTATGATATACGATATATGATATATGGTGTAATTTTATGGTGGAAAGCAAATATGGTGAACATGGTGTTATGGTGAATGTACATGGGGACAATGGAGACGGCGAAGTGAACATTATTGCAATGATTGTTATTTAGTCGATACAACTTAGTCGATATGCTCATCTTGTAACGCATCTGGTTGCCGTCTCGCTTCCTGTGCCTGGGGGCGACCGTGTGTGAGCGCGCGAGAGTGTTTGATTAACCTGGCAATCATAATACCACGCCACCGATAGGCGCGCCGTACCCTGGACAAGGCTGCGAAAGGGCCGATACCAAGGCCTGAAGTGCAAAAAGTCCGCGGGGGGGCAGGTTGGCCTGAAAGTGCCGCATATGTCGCATATGGGGCATGGAGATGCCGAAACAGGCAGATCATGTGAAAAACCGATGCCACAGGGGCGGAGCAGGCATTGCGATTCTGTCGTGCGCACCAGAAACTGTAAACTTGTAGTGAAATCTGTCGAGTCGTGGCGGAATGCTTAACCTGTAGGCATTGGAAACTGCATACGGTCGAAAGTCCATGCGTAGCTGTGCCATTACGGTGCTGATGGCGGGTTCACGCAAACAGAGGCTTTAAATTTGCATCAGGCAACCACAATGCAGTATAGAGCATCACCTCGTGCGTGTACAATGTCCTCGGAGGGTCCGGTTTCTACCTGCCCCGGTCTTCGCAAACCACCCAAGAGTTCACGCTGGGAAAATACTACGTTCCAACTCACATGGTGTCCACCGCCAACACTAACACAAGATTCCGGCAATTTGTTGTGCGCAGTCGCTTTCCCAGTAGTTCAGCCAGCACAAACCTCTGACTCAACCCCAGTCAGCTCAGTTGTATGTTCTGAAGGTGAGCTCCTATATCTCGCATGCGACTCCCTCACCATGGAACTTTTGAGCCGACCTTAAATTTCCTGGACAGTTCCGGGAAGGGCGGGACAGGACGAGAGCGAAACAAGATAAGCGTGGGACCTAGGCCGCTGCCTCAACAGTAACTGGTCCTCAGCCCCTCCGCGCCGGGCCATTCCCAAACGCGTCAAACTGTGGACAGCCGACCTTGCACCCCGCAGATTTGCAGTCACGAACCCCCACGGACCTGGCAGTGGAAATGGGAGTGCCGACTCAGAGCTCATCGGCATCCCAGCCGAGGCCGCCCTTTGGCAGAAGACCATTGAAAAATATAGTCGATTTCGCCAGTCACGTGGCAGCGATATTGCTACCCAATTTGTAGCGACCGTAGTACTGCCTGTTGGCTGACAAGCATCATCGGGCCTAGAAGCTCACGATGTCATGACCCACTTTAGAAAATGCTGCAACACAGGGAATGCACACCGCGGCTGAATCACGTGTCTCGAGCTCGCGAATCGCGATCCGTTGAGGAAAGACACTATTTCGATTTTGGTACGCTTAGCGTCAAATTGACGCCAATAGGGGAAGGGGGGGGGAGAGGGAAACAACCCGCGTCCTGTTCCTAGGTAAGAAGGTCTTAGAATGGATCAATTTGCAGCCACTGAGGCTACTAGCCTCACTTATGATGGCATTTAGAATTCAAGTTTCCAACCCACTGAAATCAGCACCACGGTCATTGTTTTTTTCTCCTTAGAAACACCTGGAACTTGAATACCACTGTTAGGTAATGTTGCTGAGTCATCCTGGCTTCGACATAAGGATTGAGTCTTCTCTTAGCCGCATGCGCCTCTCAGCCGCATCGGCATCGCCCTGGCCACAGCCTAGGTCACCGTTTCTCCGACTCAGTTGCTCCACCTTGGCGACTTCGCAAGAGCCTGGCTTCTCGAATTGTCGCTCTTCTGTTGCGCCAGCGCGGCACAACACGCCTCCCAGACTTCCACGCGCCGTTCTCCCCCAGCACTTTCTCTTTGTTCCGCCGTCAACCACGGCGTGCCGCCAGTATGCGATGGCGGCCCCTAGCAGTGCCTTGGCCATGGCGGCCCTCTATCGACCGTTGCCAGCGCACTCTAAGCAGGTCGTTCTGGTGGTCGCTTGGGTCACAGCTCAGCGCTGCCCCTGGCCGACAGCCACGGCGCAACCACAGAGACCCAGCCCAACTGCAGGACACACGCACGGCATACGCACAGCCTACAATGGGTACGCCCCTGACTCATTCCATGCCGTACTCTGTGTTTGTCGTGCCGTCCAGCGGTCTGATCTGGGCTGCCGATTCGCCCGACGGGTTGTTGGCGACGCCCCTCATGGCCGCCTCTCGGCCCAATCCGTCACAGAACGCTAACCCAGGCCTCTGCTGCCTGAGGCGCTAGATGTCCGTCTCGAGATCGACGCAGGTGCGAGGCTGGTGCTCCCCATCGGCGGTCCTGAAGGTCGGATGGCAGCCGCACGGTGGCACGACTGGCCGCCCACTATCGTTCTTGCTGGCAGCGGGCCCAGGGGCCCACTGCCTCGGCTCAACAAGTGCTCTACGCCAGGGTGTGCTGGCTACGGATCCCAACGCAAGCGCGACGTGCTGCGCAGTCTATAGGCTCGCATTTCTGCCGCGTGAACAGTCGAGCCGGTGGTCCCTATCGCAAACAGGCCCCTGCACAGCTGGGCACTCCCTTGGGCACACACGCACGCACGCACGACTCCCAAGGTACGGCAATCAAAGGTGGACGCGATTGCAAAAGAATCGCTGTTACCACGCCCTTTTCTGAGCGCCTGGCATTCTTGCGCATTTGCGAGAATACTCTACCAAGTGTTACTCTGAATTTCAAGTCGGACAAGCCAAGGGTGCCCTAACTGCGCTGCCCATTGCGCACAGACCTATTGGCTCCTTTTGCTTGTTTACATATGCATCCCTACAAGTGACACCTGCCCGCGTGCCTTGCATCCCTTACACCGTTGGCCAGCTGGAGCAGTCGGCCAGCTGCCCATTGCAGCTCTGTCCCAATGGCCAGCTGCTCTAGAGCACAAGATCTTGTGCTATGTCTGCGCATGCATTGCTGCACACATCGACGGCTTCAGCGCGACATTTGGGCTGTCTGTGATCCCTCATGGCTCACCGTTGATCTACATTCAGTACATGTGCTGCCGTTCATCTACTTTTCTTTTTCTTCACTGTCGTGTATGTGTTCGTTTCGTACCGTATAATCCCACCCAGCCCATCCGCATGACATCGCATGCTATTTCATATTGTTGTTGGTTTAATGATAACTTATCACGGTTGCGGCACGTGCCATATGATAGCACTTTTTTCGTATGCTTCTCCAAATTGTGCAGCTTCCCTCGTCGCGTCAGGCAGCTCAACCGGTCCTCAAGGGATCACAGCATGGCTTATACCAGCCCATTCGCACCGCCATCAAGGACCCCTGAAGCCAGGACCTCCCAGAGTTCCATTTCAATCTGCAGAGTGATCAGCTGACCACATTGGGACAGGAACAGTTGGGAGGCCATGTGAGTACACAGTGTGATTTCTTCAGGCAAACCTTCCTCTCCAATTTTCCCCATTCCTCGTTCTCGCTCCCGAAGTTCTTTGCTGTTAGCTCCAAACTCATCTCTGGAATGTGTTATCTTGTCATATGGTAATTGTGGCTTCCTCTGGTCATCCCATGCAGTGCATACAGCGTATATGGTAGACATCAATCGCTAGCCGAAAACATAAGTCCACCCTGGTTTCGCTGGGACACAGCAGTCACTAATAGCGACTCATTATGTCGCGTCGAAAATACATCGAAATTTCATTCAACATCATTCCGTCATCACAAAGGTGAGGAACGTGAGGTCAGCTGGCGCGCTTGCTGGCTCAGCGAACACCACGAGCCATTTTCCGCAAAAATACTACAATGGCCCCTGCAATTGTCGCTAGCAGTGTGTGAGAGCCCAGACAGACACAATATCAGCCCCAGGCGCCCCCAGCGCCCCTAAGGGCCATCCAAAAATCAACATTCTACACATATGCAATATGCACTGTCCACAGCGAGCTACAATCCTTCCCAATGCACCAGCACAGGCTTCCCAAACCTGCGCCATGCCTCTCTATCACTGCGCCTACCATTGCCTCTAAGTCACAAGGGCGTTGTTAGTCTTTCTGGCAGGCAATCCAGGGAATTGCCGCCTCCATCGCTGCCTGACCTCCCGCTCATTCTCCCCAACTTCTGATCCAACCCCTGCAAAACCCGCTGTCCACCCAGGACCACAGCGGGCAATAATGCCGAAACGCTGCACATCCCCCCCGCATCAATTTTTTGCTCTCTTATCCCAACAGCGAAGACAATCACGCATTTCCACACTAGCCACCACCATCTATTTTCCTTATTAAAGCCCCCTAAAGTCCCCAATTCTGTCGCGCACACCGGTCTCTCGTTCAACTCCACACCCACACACACCCGCGGATAACGTCCCACACACCGCTTCCAGCGTATTTGCCCGTTCAAGAAAAATACGGTCCGGCCCCTCCTAGCCCCCGCCTCCAAGGTCATGTCGCGCCCATTCCGTGTGGCGCAATCCCTTACAGATACCAGTGCCTGTCCATCACTGCTGCCAAACCCGCTGTCCCTCATTTTGCCAACGCCTGTCCAATCCTTTCCAAGCCCCCCGGGGTCCTTGCCTCAGCACCCGCCACCTTCGCCCGCCCGCGCGCCCTCCTCGCCGAACATTACGACGTCCCCGGACGTCAGGCTGGCGGTGGCCGCGCCGGGGCCCTGCCGCATGCTCATCAGGTCCATCGCCGCGGCCTCCACGCCCGGCGTGCCCGGAACGTAGGCCCCGGGCGCCCGTTGCGCGACGCCGGGCGGGGGCATCGACGCGCACGATTCGGGGACAGCCGCCGATGCCGCTGAGGCGATGGGCAGGTCGGACATCGCGAGGGGCCCTGCGGGCGGCAGGGGGATCGACGGGTAGGACATAGCGGGGTTGGACTGCGGCTGGCCGGAGGTGGAGGGCGTGGGCGGCTGGAAGGGGACGGAGGCGATGACGGCGCGCGGGGCGGGCGCCTGAGGGTTGGCGGACTGGGGCCGGGCGGCGCTGGCGCCCACCCGTGAGTATCCGTGGTGCCGGCTCCGCCTGGAGGGGCGCACAAACATAAAGTTAGGCAGCGGAGGTGTTCCTTGTTTTCGCTGTGCTTGTTTTCCTGGCTTGTGCGCAGCCGTTCCGTATTGCCTGTGATGTGCGAATCTCGGCTGCTTCGTCTGCATTGGAGGGGCCGAGGGGCGATGTGCCCCACAGGGACGCACTCCATTCTCTTCACCCCAAAATGGTAATGGATTTGCGATGGGTGTATCAGTACAGGCTGCAGCAAAACGTTGCACCAGTTGTGGAGCATGTGTGTACTGGGCTCTGATGATCAGACAGCACCAGTTTGCAAGCAGTCCGCAAGGACCTCACAATGTTTGTCCACAGAGCACCCACATGTCCACGTTATTACCCCGATGTGAAAATTGCCACAGAACGGATACAGCGTCCATTCAGAATGGGTCCATAAAGGCATCGTGCAATACTGCATACTGTTTCTACCCAACCCTGTCCAGGCCCTGAAAATGCCACTATGCAACGGATTGGCAATTATGCCCTCCAAAACCGCATTCACAGAGCTTTGCATGCACACGTTCTTATTGATGTGCCAGATGACGACAACGAAAATGAACTGGTGGCTACTGCTCTGCACTGACCAGTAGGTACAATTGATTTTCGACTGTGCCCATGTTATTCTTTTTGAGAAGGAAGTCATCTGGCCCAGGCCAAAGGCTGTGGCATCGATTAACACCTATGCGATGAACATGACGTTGCCAAGACCCCATCCACAGAAATCTAGTGTACATGTTGGCCCCAAGCACTTCTTGAGCAGCCATTGTATCCAGCACGCGGCCTGTGCCTGTTCATGCACAACCAAAATACAGGGCATGCTCCACAATTGCAGATCCTTACTTGCGACCCCATTTCAGTTTCAAGTGAGTGGGTTGGGCTCCTCTGGGTTGGACATCCTCCTCGTCCGAGTCCCCATCATCATCGGATGACAAGCCTGTAAATTCCCAGCCACCATCCTGTGCACCTCCTGTTCCATTGCTTTGGGGCCGTTTGTTGCCAGGCTGAGAGTACTCGTCCTGCCAGGGACGTGGACCACGGGGCGCAGGGTCCACCTCCTGTGTGGCAGCCAAGGACTGTTGCTGGTCAGCATCCTTGTGCATGCATGAAGTGCCAAAGTGCACATCAGCAGCAGAGACAGACAGAAATCGCTTCATGCATGAGAAATCCTCTTGGACTGCAAGGTCAAGACGTGGCAAAGTGCTGCTCTTTCACCATTAGGCAGTGCAAGGCTATTTGTTGCAACATGTGTTTGCTGTCAACACAGTTCCATTCCCATTTTCGCTGTTCCGCTGCATCTATGAAAAACTGTCAGAAGCGCATGCATGTATCTGCAGTCTCAATTGGCCATATCTGGCAGTTCGGGACGGACAGCAATTCGACTTGTACATGTGCGCAGCTGCAGGGAGTTCTTTTGTTTGCACTAATCGCTTGACGCCCTTCATCGCCCATCAGGTGGAAGGGCTGTGCTTTGTTTTCTAAAGATAAATGAAATCAAAGGAATTTGATTGTGATGATCGACTGGCAGAGATTCGCCTGCATTGAAGGTTGGAACTGCCTGGTTTGCACTACTCGGCATCGACGCATGAGGTGTTTGGACCCCGTGCGGCGAGATACCACCATATAAGTGTTGCACCAGTGAACAGCAGTACCCGTATCAATGTTCTAACACTACCAGTCAGTCCCATCCCTTCACCATACTAGCCACTGAGTATTCTCCATAAATCTCATTTTTCGCCACTCTTACTGTACCACGAGCTTCCCAGCGACTTTCACCATACCCTTCAATAGCGCCATTCCTTTCTGCTTAGCAACTGACCTGACATATCTGGACCTTGATGCCCTTGACGAGATTCGCAGTGATCTGGATGCTCTGGACCTCCGCGATCTCAACGGCCTTGGCCCAGATGGCATTCACCTCCTCTCTTGAGCACAGCGCCAGGCACCTCACCTGCACACTAGCCAAACAGGCAATCAAGCAAGCAGCACTATAGTCACCAAACGTTCCAGTGTAAACTTACTGCGGGAAAGAGTGGACCACATGGTCTGAAAAATGTGTTCAGGAGGGGGCCCTATGCGGCCTTCATCCAAGAACAGGTGGTTCACGGTGATGCCCTTCCGGTACTAACTACCGGACTAATTGGCGACCATGAACGTTCATGCCGGTGCCTTGTTGGACCACAATTGGCCCAATTTGATGATGCCAGTGGCGACAATCATTCATTCTTGTCTGCACTTTTCCCCAATTTCTTCAAAACCGTGTCAGCAACCTTGCAGATCTCTGTGTTGACCTGGTGTTGTTCCGCACCCCGCGGGCGTGGACCACCCCTTGCAGCACCGTGCACCCCAGGCGACCAACGAGCGCACGCGTCCCATGCCGAGGAACTCCGGCTCAAGCGCTGGCAGGGGCGGCAGTAGCCAGCCCGGAGCAGGGACAGGGTCCGCTGCAACTGCTTTTGCGGCTCTCCACCCCTCCCCCACCGCCACCAAGACCCCTTCGGGGCAGCTCTCACCGCTCTCGTTGTAGCCCGGCGGAGCCAACGCGCAAGGACCAGCGGGGCGCTTCGCACCAACGGAAACAGATGTCGAACGGATGCTTTTCCCCCCCTTGCCCGGCTTTTCCCTGGACGGGTCGCCGCCAGGGCACCGGGCAACGGCGGGGCATGGCGTCGGTTTTGGGTATGTGGCCACCTGCAGTCCGCTGGCAGCAATCAACAGCGGTGCATCGCAGCAACCGCAGGACGATCCGGCGCGACAAAATCAGCGCGAAAAGGCGTTCGACATCTTCCCGCCCAAGCGGGGCGAAGGTCCTTGAGCGGGCGCCTGCTCGGAAGGAGCCCCCGTCTGGACCCCTTGAGCCACGGAGGGTCGCCGCCCTCCTCCTGCCCCGCCGCGAGGCATGCGCCGGGCCGGAAGCTTGGTGACAGAAACCGGTCGACCGCGACGCCGTTGGCCGGAAAGCTGGACCGCGTACGATGCCGCCGGGAAGCGGGCGTCTCGGTGCCGCTGGGGGTGTGCCCGCCGCCGGCACCCGCTGGCAAGGCCGTTGACATTTTGTCCGTGAGAGCGAGCAAAAAGAGAAGAAGGGCTGCGAGGAAAATGGGCTGCGAGCGGTCCCCACCTGGGGTTTGCGGGGAAACGCGCTCCAGCTGGAAGAATCGGCGCCAGTCAGCGCCGACCGTTTGGCCTGCAAGGCTGGGCGGCAGGGGCCCAAGCAGACCCCGGCAAGCGGGCCCAAGGAACACACAGGCCCTTCTCGCGCCACCCTTACCCCATCCCAAAAACGCCCCAAAAACCCACCCCGGGGAGTGCGGTGCCGGTCAGCGGTGGCGCGCGTCGCTGCAACTCGCGATCGAGCCACCCTCGCGGCGGCCGCGAGCGGAGCAACCCAGGCGGCACAGGGCGGCGGGCGCAACCGGCGGTGGCCACTGCAGCGCGTCGACGCGGCGCCTCTCCCCGAAGCCAAATCCCAGCAAAGGCGGGCTGGGGGGGTCGGGCCCATGGGGGCCGAACCGCCCGCGTTCATGGCCGCCTCCACTCGGGATCGCCTCGCCCGAGAGCCCGGCGCCGGGCGACCGGGCCCCCGGCACCACCGGACAACTCATCAGCCCTCCGCCACCCTCACACCCGCCGGGCTTCGGGGCTCGCCCGCCGCCCGCTGCCGAGCCCACGGGCCCAGCGCGGTGGCCCCAGCGTCTCGGCGCCGCGCATCGACGCCCAGTCCCCGCATGCGCCCCCTGGCCCACGCGGCCAGTCATGGCCCCACGCGCTGGGCCCGTTGGACTAGTTGACCTGCGGCATAACGCCCAAGCGCTCCTCCGCTCGCCGGTGGGCCAGGAGCCTCCAGGCCGGGCAGCTCCCTCCCCACACCCCCATTGCCCCCAGCCCCCAGGGCCCCCGCCACCGCCCATGCTCCCTGGTCCCCGCCTCACCTGCTTCTCGCTGGTGGGCAGTGCCCTTTGGCAGCCGGCCAGGAAGTCCATCACGCGCACAGCGTTCATGTACCGACGCGCACTGCGCCACTGGAAGGCGTGGTGCTTCAACACGTACTCCCTCAGGTTCCTGCAGCCCCGCAGGGAGTACATCTTGGCGCGCTGGATCTCCAGCAGTATGTTGCCCATGATCTTGAACTGGGGCTCCTGGTACTGTTGCAGCACGGACTCCAGGATCTCCAGCTTCTGTAGCCTGCTGTCGGACGCCTCGCGGCCCTCGCCCTCCTTCATGCCGCCCTCGTGGCGCCCCCAGCGCGGTCCCGCTGGGCCCCACGCGAGTGAAACACCCTCAGAAACACGCGGGGGCGCACCAAACCCCCACTCATGCCCGCCTTTTTTCGCCCCCCCCCCCCCCCTCCCGCCCGTAATCTCATGTTTTTTACCCACCAGCCTGCGCCGCCCATTTTCCGCCCCATTTTCTCTTCCCCACCCACCCCCCAAACCACAGCAGCGGCCCCCTCCTTTGCCAAACCGCACCGTTCTTGCGCCAGCGCGCCCGCACTCGCTCCGAATCCGCACCACCCCGGCGCCCCCCCCAGGCCCAGCCGGCCCCCGTTCCGCCGCTGGCGGCGCCGCAGCCCGGCCCCTCGCCGCCATGATTCGGGAATCGCGGTACGAGGTGTCCAGGGGTCGCCGCGTCGGCAACGACCGCCACCGTTACCGCAGGTGAGGACCCCCCCCCCCCGCGTTGCGAGCCACCTTCTCCTGCTTCAGATGCCCTCTTTCTCCTCAGCCCCCGCCGCCGCGCTGACGCAGCTTTGGCCGCCGCCCCACAGGAGCCCCAGGCGAGAGGAGTACACGAACGGCAGGAGCAGGCATCGTGGCGCCGCGCCGCGCGCCAGCTCGGTGAGTTGGGGCGGCGGCTTTGCCCACTCCGCCCACGGCGCAGCCCTCCGACATCCCCCCCCCCCGGCGGCCGCGGCCGCGTGCCTGCAGCCCCCGTTCCTCAACAGCTTGGTGCGGAACGCGCTGACACTCGGCTCCCCTCCCTTCCCGCAGCCCGCCTACCGCCTACCGGGAGGCCTCAGCAGGTGAGCCGGCTGGGACATCCTCCGCTCGATTCCGCTCCAATCGCGTGCCCGGAGGGCGGGGCGCCTTTTCTGAGGGCCCCAGAGCGCCCGATCTGCGGCTGTGCCTTCGGCGGAAATCGCCCAGGCCGCGGGCAGAGCTTCGTTGGATGGCGTGCTGAGACCCGCCCTCGACTGCCCCTGCGCCCATCTTGGGCGCACAGGGGAATTCTGCACGGGGTGCCGCGGCTCTGTGGCCGCCGCCTGTGGCCTTGCGCTTGCCAGCTCTGATCCCACTGTGTGTGCCCCTTGTGTGTTTTCAGCATCCGCGAGGCCGCGATGCTGGTGCTGGCGAAAAAGAAGGAGCTCGAGGAGAAGGAGAAGGCGCGGGCCAAGGGCAAGTCGCCTTCCAAGCGGCCGGCGTCCAGCTCAGAGTCGGAGGAGGAGGAGGGCCTGCACGTGAGCAAGCGGGCCAAGTCTTCCCACGATGCTTCAGGCAGCGGCCCCTCCAGCGACAATGGGGTGAGCGGCGACGGGCGGGCGCTTCCCCCGCCCAAGAAGTTCAACCCCTACACACACCACAGCGGAAGCGAGTCGGAAGACGAGCTGCAAGGTACACTCCGTGCACCTGTCTGCCCTTCTGTGTGTGTCCTGTTGTTGTCTGTGCTGTCCGTGCTTGACTATGGTGGCGTCGTAAACTTCATGCCTGGGCATGGTCCACGGTAATGGAATCTGAGATTGATGTGCAGCTGACCTGCCAGTGTGGTATGAGCATTGCCTGACACTGGCACCTTGTCTGGGAATGCTGCTTGTGTTCCACACATCTTGTTCCTCATCCAGTTGCTTGAAACACGTATGCCGTCACAAGATAAAGCAGGGTCTTGCACCTTGTTGTCGATTTCGAGCATCTTTCCTCTTGTTCCACTGTGCATTACTGTGTTTATCTGGATGGGGCAAGGATATGGGGACCCCCCCTCCCCCCCTTCCCCCGCTGTGTGTTCAGCCCCACCCACCAACAGCAGAGCAGCCCTTACACACGCGCATAGTGTTGTTGGAACCTAGGGAGCTCCTGAGGTCAGATTCTGGCTCGTTTGTGGACCCCGATTTATGCCCGCTGAACTGCTGTGGATAGGGCTGTTTTTGAGTTTTTGTTCTGGAAGATGGAGAGGGACACTGGGGGTAATGCCCCCACACCATCCAGCTAAATGCAGTGGATGAAGGTCAGTATTGGAGGCCAAGTGCCCTACCCGACCAACCTCAGTATCCTGGGCCCTGTTTCAAGCATACTGGCATGAGCAAGCAAGTGGTGGATAGCAATAAATCAATGCATCACAAGGGGAAGGGAAGGCAGCGGTGTTGCTGTTGCTTTCTCTTGCTGACTGTGCTCTGCACTGGTGTGCAGCATTTATACTGTGGCAGGGACTGCTGCAGGCACGGTGCTATTCTGGACCAAGCAGTGCATGTTACACAGATACACTCGATGAACGCTACCCGTGTTCACGGTAGAGCGCAGGGCTCCTAATGTTCCAGGCACCCACAGTCAAAGTGGTAACCGTGAAGTGTGCTGTGTCCACGGGTTTCTGGGGGTGTTAGCTGCATGGGTCACGCAGCGTTTCTGGCGCTGGTGTGAAACATACCTGGTTTGCTGTCGTGGACTGTCTTGATGCCAGAGGGAGCATTTGCTGAAAGTGTGGCTTTACACATTTTGCAGCAGACTGGCAGGCAGGCATGTGGCCCACGGAATGTTGAGTACACTGCCGGCACCGCCGCTGCGGGCTGTACTAGGAGCAAGGTGTCCTGGTCAGCAGCTGAGGATGGGTGAGACTGCGGGTTCACTTGCCTGGCGGCAGTTGCCTGGAGGCACGAGTCAGCACCCATAGGCCCCAAGTAGAATTGGTAAAGATAAAGGGCAGGTAAACCGCTGAAAAAACGGCTGGTCTGTGGACAACAACATGAGGCCACGGTTGGTGTCTGCACTTGGCCTTGCTGCACGGGCGCTTGGTGAAACACTTGGGACATTTGCCCTTTGACTCCAAATCACCCATTGTTGGCGGTGTCTGCAGCAGTTGCTGGTGGTGATCCCCTGTCCACTACCAAAGCGCTGGTAGCCTAGCCATGACTCTGTGTTGGAGAAAAGCTGCAAGGCTTGTCCGATCTGGGCTACTAGAGATACTGGCCACACAGGAAGAGGTCATGGTCACCAGTTCCAAAAGGTGCCTCTTCTCATTTCATGACAGCAGCTCTCTGTCAATGCTTGTATGCTTGAGAGACAGCTTGCATGCAAGTGTGCATTTGCATCCACAGAGGCAAGTCAACTTTGGATCAGCGCTCTTTCTGGTTAATTCCCTCCTTGATTTAGGTGCCTTTAGTCATGATCTGGGCTGCTCTGCTGTTGGTGGTAGATGGGCAGATGTGTGCCATCGGTGGGTTGCAGGTGAGTGTCTGCAGGTACTGTATTGTGCTTGCAGAACTGCAGAACAGGACTTACAACAGAGCACATCGTCTGAACAAGAATGCACAGGAAAATTGATGTGTGGGAGCCTGCATGTGTGTTCAGTCAGTGCTGCTAGGTGTTGTGGGATTGCCTTACTGTTGTTTTATTGCCAGCCTGTTGCATGAGTTGTGGTTGGCTGACACTGGATTTGTGTGTTGCTAAGGCTCTGAAGAGGCTGCTCCGCGAAAGCCGCACAAGTCAAGATGGGAAAGTGATGACGAAGAAGAACCCAGTTCGAAGCCAGAGGTAGAGGATGCTCCGATGCCAGAGGCCCATGAGGAGAATGATGGATCGTCAGGCACAGATGATGACATGTCTTCTGGTAACAGGTGAGTGCACTTATCGCCAGAATAATTATGTCAAGTTCGGGACACCTGGAGGGCACAATGTTTACTGGGCACATGTATCTGGCCTGTGACACTTGCCAGGCTGATAATTGTTTGTGGTGAATACAGATTTGCACTACAGGGCGATTGTATGGTTTCACCTGTGTGCAGTGATCTTTGAAGTATGCGAATTCAGTTTCCGCTGAACGCCAGCCAATGTGATCATTCTATTTTTATGCTGCAGGATACCAGACATGTGCCAAACCAGCCGGGGTGTGGACGAATACCAGTACCTGCACAAGATCAGTGAGGGGACATATGGCATTGTCTACAAGTGAGCCTGCTATACTGTTATTGCGTGTTGCCGTTTCCTGCTCTTGCCTGTTTGCCCTCCAAGCTTTTGGACTGTTGCTGTTGCTCATTGTGGTGCAGCGCATGACTCTTTTCTGTGCTGCTTGCCTGCTGGTTTGCTCAAGTCGTTGGGTCTGTCAAATCGTTTGATTAAGTTTGTCAAGAGCCTATGGCAAATAAGCTGCTTCACCTTGTAAAGACAACAATGAGCACAGCAGCTGTGAACTCGAAAGCCTTTATCTGTGGTGCCTAACCCTTCATGCCAGACTGACTGTGGACCCTGTCGCCTAGGGGAAGGGAGAAATCAACCAACCGCTTTGTGGCCCTGAAGCGCATAAAGCAGGACAAGGCAAAGGATGGCTTTCCTCTGACTTCCTTGCGGGAGATCAACATCCTCACCTGCCTCAAGCATCCCAACATCGTCAACGTGTCTGAGGTGGTCGTCAGCGGCAGCGGCGGTGCCTCCTCCGTATTCATGGTGATGGAGTACCTGGACCATGATCTCAAGCGTGTCTCAGAAATGCAGAGGCATCGCTTCACCATTTCCCAAGTGAAGTGCATCATGCAACAGCTCCTGTCTGGTTTGGCATATCTCCATGAGAACTGGGTCATCCATAGGGACTTGAAATTCTCCAACATCTTATACAACAACAAGGGAGAGGTGAAGATCTGTGATTTTGGGCTTGCCCGGCAGTACGGGTCGCCACTCCAGAAGTACACTCAGGTAGTTGTGACGCTTTGGTACAGAGCACCTGAACTGCTGCTCGGGGTTGACAAGTACTCGACCGCCATCGACATGTGGTCAATGGGGTGTGTCATGGGGGAGCTGCTCAAGGGCAAACCGCTGTTCGACGGCAAGTCGGAGCTGGGCCAGCTCGACAAGATCATAAAGATCATGGGCTCCCCAAGCGAGGAGAACTGGCCGGGCCACAAGCAGCTTCCGAACTACCCAAAGGTTGCACTTGGGAAAGAACCATGCAGGTTGCGAGAGATGTTTCCCATCACATCGTTCACAGGGGGCCCGACCCTGACAGACAAGGGCTTTGATCTACTGTCCAAGCTCCTGGCCTACGACCCAGAGCAGCGGATATCTGCTCACGATGCTCTGAACCATCCATGGTTCGAGGAGCGACCCCTGCCGGCAAGCAAGGAGATGCTGCCCACGTTTGGCTGAGCGATCGCAAAGTTGGTGGCCAGGGACTGTCCAGCGGGGCGGGTGGGGTCAGATCAACTCGTGGGATGGCGTCCCAAGCATTGGAGTCTGTGGACCGTATTAGTGCAGTTGCTGTGAATAGTAGTAGTAGTGCTAGCAGCAGCAAAGGAAGGGCTGCTGCTGACTGGGTCACCTGAAGTTCAGCTTGGGGTGAACTGGGAGAGATTCAGCATTTACGAACGGTTCTGAATTGTACACAAAGCGTCCGAACATTTTCTTTGCTGCCTTTCAGATGTTATTTGCAAGAATGTGTCCTCTCTCAAGCTGGCGCCGTGTGTTGCCTGCACGGTAGGTGCTGTGCGCACGCCTGACGATGGGCATGTATGCATGTATGGTGCCTGCCATTGATAAACAATGCCCATTCCCAATGTGCTAGACTGGGCAATGGATTCTTGGGGTCCCACCAGATATAATTGGTACCTGAATCTGCTTGAAATTCTGTAGTGCACACACCTTGTCGCAGTATTCCTGGATCAGCCAGAGCTGCTGCCTCGAAGTTTTTGTAGGCGCAGTAATCTGCAACATCGATCGGCAAAGAAGGACTTGCAGGCTTGCGATATGCTGTTTGTGCCAAGATTGCAACTGTTCGGATTTTCCCCCCTAGACTCAGCTTGCAATTTCGTGACCCTTGGTGCATTGGCCAGCCAATGTGAACAGCCAAGAGTAACATGGAAGATGAAGTCCTTTGATGAAGGACATAATCTAGCATGATGCACAGGCAGTCCAAGACAGTGTGTGGTCTTCTTGGCCAGCAGTTGTTCGTTTGCTTGTTGCAGTGCTGCCATGGGTTGGACAATTTCATGGTTGCTGTGGCATTGTTCACAGTGTACTTCTGCCACCTGTGATGTTTCCAATATGATCGCCCTATGTGTCCCTGTGCAGTGGGAATGATGGATGCAGCAGCAGGTTCAGGTTGGTGTTACTTTTCCTTTCTGTTTTTGCCTTCACCATTGATGCGCTGTGCGGTGATGTGTTAACATGCCTGTGGCAAGGGAAAGCACTTTTTTGCAACAGGAATGCTGCCACCTGGCTATAAGCCCGTGTACGTGTCCAACTGAGGGCCAATGTGGAGTTACCATTGAGGCGTTGGCAGAATTCTGGCATCCAGATGCTCTGATTCTGAATATCTTCGCTGCGAACTGGCTGCTGCAAAGGTGACGTCTTGCATGCTTGCCCCACATGCACAGCACCTGCCCTTTACTCCTGGTTAGGGTATGACATAGCTATTGTAAGGAAGGGGCGAGGGGGGTACTGGAGAATGTGTGTGTGGCATACGAACGGTTCAGAACTTGCTTGTTGTGGTTCCCCAAGGTTTCGTATTGTCTGGCATCAACAATTAGTTGGAAAAGTCGGGAGTTATAATTCTGGCAGGTGGTGATGATTTCCACATGCATTTATGTCATGGGTAGAAAATTCAAAGGTCAACTAAGGGATGGTGCTCTCTCTTTTTGCTGCACAAGGCTCGAAGGAAGGAACCTGTTGTCCAGTGTTTCCCAATACGGGTTATGCACTGAAGCACTCGTTCCTGCCAAGATTGCATTGGACTTTTCCACTGTGCAGTACAGCATAAGCCGCTATTAATATGAGTAAGAAGAAAAGCAGACAGCACCGTTTGTGCTGCTGGAATTGCCCTGTCTTTCACATGCTGTTGCTTTGTGCCACGATGGTCTTACCTGTGTTCATCTACTGGCTGACAGTGTGTCACTTTGGCCATGCAGCTGTGACTCCTGTTTGTGTGCCAGTGTTGCACCAGTGTCTCCACTGGCCTACTTGCGACTCTGGGTGTGGGAACAGGCGCGATGTGTAGCAGAGCTCCAGAGGCCGTGCATTCACTGCCTGCAATGTATTAGTGGTTTCATCCTCACAAGAATGAACTTGATGAACTGCAGCAGAGAGCCCTTGCTGGCAGCTGTGGCATGGTGCCGATTTCATGGGCTGTGCTTTGTATGTATCAGTGCAGAACAGGCATGGCCACACAAAGGGACTGGCCGTCAACCATCTTGAAACCGCCTTTGACAATCTTGGCCTCTCCTTGACAAAGTTAATCCATTCATCTGCAGGACGGTTGCCACCAATAACATTCTGTGCCTTAAACCCCCACCCCACTCCTGCGCCTGTTGTGCACTTCCTGCGCTGGCTGCGAACACTGGCGCATCTCCAGTTCGCCGTTCCAGCCTGTGACCATGTAGAGTCTAAAGGCAAGGCGTTCATGTCTTGCAGGGCAGCCATCCCTGGCTTGCCAAAGATTTTGCGAATCCATGCTGCATATGCGTCGATATTGCAAGGGTAAGGTAGGTGAGGTGTGGCAGAGACAGAGCCGCAGCAGGTGAGTATCCTGCATGTCCATCGGGAAGTGGTGAATATTGCAGGCATGGAAGCAGCTGCTCATGTCACAGTCCTGGGGATGGTTCAAATGCAGAAGGAATGGTAGCCCAACAGTTGGCATACTCCTTCTAGACAACTTCCTATGAGACTATTCTCCACGCTGCAAAGTTGGTGCAGAAGCACCGAATGGAAGTGAGAATGGCATTCCAGCAAGATTTTGGATGCGGAACACATGTTTCTGCTGGTCATATGTTGTGATTGGCGAAGTATTCACCACCACGCACTACCCAATGCTGGTCATCATACAGAAGGAATGGTAGCCCAACAATTGGCATACTCCTTCTGGACAACTTCTTATGAGACTATTCTCCACGCTGCAAAGTTGGTGCAGAAGCACAAATGGAAGTGAGAATGGCATTCCATCAGGATAGTGGATGCGGGACACGTGTTTCTGCTGGTCATGTTGTGATTGGCGAAGTTCACACCACCACGCACTACCCAATGCTGGTCATCGAAGACCATCTTGCGTGCAGGGTTGTACAGCTCGCGACTTGTTACAAATGATAGCACTGGAATATGGCTGCTGTGATCTGAGATATATGCAGATCAGATTCAGAGCTCTGAGAGTGTTTGCAAGTGTGCTGCGGGACAAACCTCTTGGCTGCCATTGACATTGCTGAAATGTTGCCAGAAATGGCGGGTATGCAGATGCACATACTGGGCTGAGTCTGACGATTGCTGGCTTAAGGCATGACTCAGTCGATCCTCAGCACATTGGCAACCGAGCTGCGCGTTGTGCAATGTTGTTGCTGCAGTACATGAGCGGCTTAGCCGAAAACGGTAGCATGGCAGGCAACCGCAGTGTGCGGGCGATTCCGTGGTCATTGTGAAATCTAGCACAGAATTCGATGGCAATGGCTCCTTTCTCAACTGAATTGCCACAAACAGCTTCAAACAGTTCCTGAATTCTGTTTGCGCACCTTAAATGTCATGATATGGACGGTCGTCCGTCCAACGCTTCCCCTTGACCTGGGGTAGGGGGCGTGGGGGTGCTTGCACCAGCCAGGCTGCCTGAGTGAAGTCGATTTTGCTGCACAATGAGCAAACTAGCCAGGGTGCAGTCGATGACGTGGGTGCTGTTGGCTGTGAAATGGCGTTCTGGACCCTTCTTCGCCGACTGAATGACCTCGCTCTTGGCGATGTGCATCCTTGAGCCCTTTCTGTGTCGCCATCACGCAATGGTGTACTACTTTTTGGGTTGCTGGTAATGGAGGGCTTCTGTGCAACAACGACAACCAGTGACCGAGGCGAGTGCGTATGGATGCAGGGGGCGTTGATTGCGAGATTGTGTACCGAATGGAATCGCAGACACAGAGCCTTCCGGAGGCAGTTTATTGCACCTTGTGCGTGGAGCTGCTGATCAAGTTTCTTGATTCCATGCGACAGCATTTGGGTAGCGGTGTTTGGTGGGGGGGTTGTATACGTGCGTTGATTCATATGCGATGTTCTTGGGATCATCACGGCCTTGGGGCTCCCCCCTGCCTTTTTGTGTCCTTAATCAGCTGGACCTGGTGATGTGCGCGCTGTTGGTGAATGTGATGTTCGAAGTGAGCTTGTGGCTGTGCGCATGAGCAAAAATTGGTGGGATTTGCTGAGTGCTCTTGCTTCGGCTGCCCCCTGGATTGAAAGGCGCTGTTTCTTGGTGCTTCGTCATATGTGGATATTGTGGACAACCGTGCATACTATGATTCGGTATTGGCTGACTTGTGATGATGCCATTGTGGCAGCCGATGACCTGTGGCAGAAAAGGAATCGAAAAAGAATGCAGCGAACCAACAAGCATGCCAACCAAAGTATGAATGGATGTACTATAGAACATAGGAAGCGGCACATTGGTGTCTCTTAAATGTCAAACATGATCAGACAAGATCATTTTACTGGTGGTTTGTGCCAATCGATCAATGCCAGTCCAAACCCATTCCTAAAGGGCTGGCAAAACAGAACGTAGACTCACGTCGCAAATCGTCCAGTTTGAGCGAATCCAACGAAGAATTGTTCGATGTGCTTGCAAAATGGCCCATTTCACAGGTCATCTTTGCATTAAAAGGCCATCAAAGAAAAGTGCAAAAACGGGTTAACCACACAAAAGGGCAATTGGGTAAAGTAAGAAAACAAAAAAAAGAAAAGGCAGCTATGTACTTAAAATTTGGGAAAACGATGCCCTTTCTAAATTAGTTCTTTCTAAATTACAGCCAGTAGTTCAGGGGTATGATGAGAGAGCCGGGGATTTGATGTCAAGCACCATGCGGATGACATGCCACCCTACTGCCCACCTATGCGCCCTGCAGCCCTCCAACGCTTTGGTTGACCTCCTACAACATGACCATCCAGACTATCCCCCTTCGCGGATGGCGGACCATGCTATCCGAATTTGCAGAATCCGCCAACGCCAAGACAACTTGCTGGGAGGTCGTGCGACCCCTCCCTATTGCCGTTCGCTGGGAAGTGAAGTTCACCATACAACGAGTAAGGACACCCGAGGAGGAGGGGGCGCCCTTCTCCCTTGCAGAGTCTTTCGACATGGGTGCATGGACATATGAATAGGAGCTTCTCAGGCGGCGGGAGCTAGGGGTCGAAGCCGAGACACAGAAAGGCGGAGGCGAGGTACTTGTAGAGCAGGAAATTGTGGAGAAGACAAGTGCACAATTGGATTTCGCGCGGGACATTGCTGCTGCCCGAAGAGAAGGTTGGTTCCCCATCGGTTCCATGCGTTTCAGGAAGGTTCTGCGCGCTATGGGCGAGTGGATTCGACAACATGGAGTGCAGGCAATGGAATTCGGCATAATCCAGATGACCTCCATCGAAAACCTGCTAGAAGCAAAGGTGTGGTTCAAGATGCAGCGCCAACCTGGGCAGAGGTGGGAGCAGGAATGTAGAGACGAGAATGGAAGGCTAAGAAATCCCGCGTAGCTATGGGATTTCCTCTTTGAAACGCAATGCGAATCCGTCTTATTTTTACAGCCCGGTATTGCGCCCTGAAACGCGCAAATTTGCAGTCTAGACAGATTGAATTGGGGCGCGGTTTGCGTTGTGGGAGTCCAGGTGGCGATGGTGTGCATGAATTGTTGAAAGACTGGCTGAAATTGGCGTTGAGGCGGCGGCTCTCTGGGCAGTTCTGGGGGGAGTTTTTAGACAGTTTCGAAGGGAGTTTCTGAACACTTCCAGTTGGAATGGTTTTGGGAGAGGGAGGGCATGTTGTTGCCCCCGCAAGCTATTAAAAGGGGTTGCCCACGCCGGGGGCAGACCAAAGCCCTGACTACAAGTCTTGGTGGTTGTAACAATCGGACTTTGCAGCTTTATTGTTTTCGGTGACCTGCTGGTCGGTTTGGTGTGCTGAGAAGTTACGACTGACCCTCTCACGTGGCGGATCCTGGCATCTGGACGACCGCATTGCTGACGGTCGGCGGGATCGACCACCGATTGGATTCGGTGCCACAGCAGGTGATTGAGGCGGGCACAACGATGATTGATCGCTGTGCGGGGGGTAGGTCTCGGGCTGGCGTGTGAGTTGGCGCCCCGGGATTCGTTTGGGGCGATGCGCTGCGAGTCATGGCGCAGCGCCATGGCGAATCTGGCCATGGCGTGCGTGGGATCCTCGCAGGCGGGTGCCAATCATGATGGGGCGCTGCAGGGCCCATAGTGTGGAGGTGACGGCTTGCATGTTGGTCGCAGGTGGAGTACACGCATGTGGATCTGTTCCATCGCGGAAAGTGACGCGTGTCGGCGGTGTTCGTGATGGGAAGAAGCTGATGGCCAGCGTGACACATACGAGGTCTGGGTTGAGAGTCACGTAACCGCGGCGGAGGTGGATCGGTCGCAGTCGGCGTGCCTTGATGTGTCTGACCGATCGTACTGGCGCCCCACACGACCACTGCTGCCTTTCGTGAGGTGCAAGCGGTGGGAATCGCCAAGGGGGGCAGGTGACCGGCACTGTATTGCTGCCACAATGTACTATTGTGGGTACAACACCCCTTTAAGTACTAGAACACAGCCAAGGGGTTGCGGAGAGTATTTCGAACACGCCGTTGGTGCAGTGGGCGAGCGCAGGGTGTACTACCAGCTACCCTAAGTACTGAGAGGAAGCAATTTGTATTCAATTGCAGTAGGAGGCATCCAAGGAAACTGCGGTGAAGCTTCAATTGTATCTTTGAGCATCATACTCGTTTGTCAACCCATTTTGGCGAGCATGGTGCGACAGAATGGTGTTGGTCGTTCTCGTGGTTGTTTCCTCTCATAAGCGGCACAACTATGTGCACGGGTTGCGGACCTGCCTTTGTCACCCCGTTGCATGTTGTGGGCTACCCATTGGCTCATTGCACGGTTGCCTGGTCAGTCATGACGTCTTCAAGGCAGATTTGACAAACGTACTCAAGCTTTGCTCCTCGTGCAAATGGGCTCTTGCAAAGCATGCCATTTTAATGATTTCTGCATGGATATGCTCCTTGTCCCACCCAGGTCCACACACACATTGGACCAATACATTTCAAAGACCACAATGTTTGTCCCAATACAACCTGAGGTACCCACAACTTGTGCGCCCAATCGCTTTGCTAGAAGTTAAGCCAGTCCATACAAGACTCAACCATCGAGTCAGCCCCACAATCCTCATCCCTTCGTACTTAACTTCCACACTTTCCCCAATTCAGCTGAATATCGCCCAAATAAGGAGGGCCGGGTGGGAAGCGAAACAAGATGGAGTGGGGACCGAGGGGTGAGCCTAAATAGCCTCCCCCACTCGTGCCCGCCAAAGCTCGTCACTCCAAAGGGCGCCAAAAAACTCTGACCCTCCTTGAACGCTATAAACTGGCCGTTGACCCAAGGTACAGGGGACAAAAACCCCGGGGGCCACGAAAACTACCATACTTAAGCAGCATTGGTCCAGCTGAAGCCAGCGCGCCCGCCCCA